GGGTTTGAATTAAAACGCAAGTTGTATATGAATACATATTTATATATATATATGCATACATATACATATATATATATATATATAGTTTTATATTTTTGTTGCCACAAACCCTTTTCCATAAAGAGCATCCTACCACGACAGGATTTATTTGACCCCCAGAGCAGCAGAGCATTCATAGAACAGACGACAATCGATAAGGCGTTGCTGAACTACTATTGATTATTAAAAGATATCATAATTGAGTGATTCTCAAAGGAAGTGAGCTGTCAGGCAGCTAGCTAGTAGGAAACCGCACAAATGCATGTGTTTTTGCTTGGGTGTCTGTGAATTCTTGAACGTAAACAGCTATAAAACTATAGATAATGGACCGGAACATATGGTTCTGGCACACACAAAACATGGAGGACGCAACTTATTCATTAAAATTTTATTGATCAGTTCGTTTGATAATCAGAACACACAATCCTTGCCCTCAACTTTCTTTGCATATTAATACGTTTCCATAGTCAGCACACACCCATGCCGCCTTTTGAATGAAAGCAAACGCCTCACCTGTGTAGTTGGTTCTGAAAATGAAAACCGCACATTTCAGCCAACACGGAATGAAAACAGATAAACTTACTAGGCGGGATTTTCATAAAAATATCAACCTGTGAGTAGCCATGGTTTAAGTAGATTTAAGTGTGTGGTTGCCTGATAATACAACCTTTGCAATTGCTTTTCTCATCCCTTATATCGAGCAAAAGTGATAAACGGATACCCGTGCACGCTTGCCCGTCTGCACGTCTGAATGTCTGCCTTAAAAGAAACCAGCATTGGAACATTCGAGAGCCCGTACGAAGATATGCTGTCGCTTTATGCATTCTCATGGACGCATTGCCTGCAACAAATAAACCATAAGCAAAGTGTATTGCAGTGTCAAAGCTGTCAGTGTACTAAGTGAAACAAGCTCATCTGCGAACGTAAAAGTCACAATTAGAGTCACTAGAGCGGAATAAGCAAACCAACGAAGCGAACACGGCGTATGTCGGACTTTCCTTTAGGTTATTACTGTGTGCAGTTGGACTGAATCTCAAGGTTCCATTATCACATAGGTCTATTCAAGCAGATAGCGTAAGCTAAACTTTGATTTCGAGTTAACGTAATCAAGTTACTACATGAATTTATCATCGGATTAGTCCCAACTTCGATAAAAAAATACAAAGATTCATAGTGTGGACTGATAATTCCCTAGACCCTGGAAGTGAGTAGAAAGTATATAAATATCTCAGATGTAAGCGGTTATCCTGGGCTTTGAGTTGATTTCCTTAAATAATGAGAACCGCGAAGCTTTCAGGTAATACCCAAACAATATGCGCCTTAAATCCCGTAATTTTATAGTTCCTCGTCATGTCAGATGGTGCTTGATTGGTGATGGAATAAAATCATTTGTGGCTAGCCCTACAAATCTTTGAAATTAAATTCAAGACTTTAGACGCAGACTTCAAAAACATCAAGGTTAAATCAAAAAATAAAAAGTATGTGATGGAGTTTATCCTCCTAGTTGCAAAATGACGGAGTATACCTCGAAAGTGGCATTCTAATCTCACCAAAAGGTTTCCATTGTTAACTCAAGCGATAGGTTATTTCTTCACACCGAAGAACTCTCCTTTCTTCGCCTTAGTCTTGACTACCCGCGTGGCAAAATTCGTCGATACGACTGTGTTGCCGACTGACAACCCGAATGATGGAAGAAAACAGTGCAACATAAACATAGTATCCCAAATAATTAAATAAGAGATCTGTCTGACCGATCGACCTATCTGGTAGACCAGTTTGGCTAGGTATAATAAAACTCCAGTTTGTAGTGACGCAAATGCTGCACCAGTAGATGTCAGCCGCGGACAGGTTGCAATAAAATATATGGGAAAATATCTATTCCGGACAAAGTAAAAAGGTCTATTCCACTATCACCGAGACTAGTGAAACACACGGTTACAAATCAAAATTTATTACCTCGGTGCAGAAAGCAAGCCATAATGTTCCAAAGACGTGACATTTCGGGACTTCTTGGCGGAACCATTGTATTAAGGCCGGATTCAGTGAAGACAGACACAACCCCTTCAAATATCAATAACCTGGATAACCAAAAAAAAACCGAGTAGTTCAGAAACACCAAGCACACTTTTGCTGCATTTGACAACCAACATCCGAATTTCAGCCATCCTTGAAATGTCAAATAAGATTGACTTTGTAAGGGTTTCACGTATTTTTATCCCTTGGACGTAATAAAGATTCTATGAGATCGATTAGCGTGATGAACCTTTAGCTTCATTCGTGGCAAGACACTGCTGTTCAGTAAGAAACGCTTGTTTACCGTATGTACGTCACGTTCATCGGCCTTGTAATTAGTCCATGGTATCGTTTACCGTGTCAATCGATTACTTTATGGACACGTTATTCACTAATTTATTGAGCAGAATTATAAAACCAATGAGAACTGCTTTTCGGCACTAGAAAATGAGTATCCATCTTGCCCTTTCCGCGTTCACCACATCTATTACAGGTCCTTTTGTCATAGTTTCACGTCAGATTGGCAGTTTTTATAAACCAAACACCTGCATGAGTATCCAGCCCTTTCCGCGTTCACCACATCTATTACAGGTCCTTTTGTCATAGTTTCACGTCAGATTGGCAGTTTTTATAAACCAAACAAACGCATCAGAAAATAACACCACATATGATTGTATTACTCGAAGCGTTGACCTCCAAGTTAGGCAAAACTGACTGTGCTTATTGAACGGTTGAAAAGGTGAGAGATGCACTTCTGTCTACCCCAACTTAATGCATGATTTATTCGGTTTGACCTTACATGGCAAAGCGTTTTTCATCAAATACTAACATAAGCAGTGATCGAATCCATTTATGGTAACTGGGAACTTTTCAGCCATTTTTATCCAGAATAATTCATCAGGCCTTTGAGTGACTACAAACCACTCAGTGCTCTCGGGCTGTCAAACGAAGAAGTATTGTTTGCGATTCGAGGCGTTGTATGACATTCCGTCAGCGGACACAAACGCAACGATATTAGTCGGAATGTATGGATCGAGGATAATGAAGTTGAGGGCTGGATCACTGTCACCGCAAGTGCTAGCGGGTCTTTCATGAAATCTACCAGTATTCCCACTTCCTTATGTTATAAGTTAATGCCTCAGAATATGATAGAAATGTCATTTTAATTATCGCTGAGTTCAAACGCCTTTAGCTGGCGATTCTTGTCCTAAAGATGATATAACAAGTGGAGGGATTAGCTACCATCAAGTGCCTGAAATGTTCAATGCGAGAATTTGGATGATTCTTCCATCAAAACCGTAAAACAACTTCATGTAAAAGCAGATCAGCCAACAGTTTTATGCTAAACACTTACATGTCACACTTGTTTGACCTGCTAGACTTTAATCCAAACTATACTATTATCTGCCAGGGGGCTTCAGTATAAGTCGGCGTGTTTTGACAACCCAGATGTAACGCACTAAAAATTCTGGCCCTGCCTCACGCATGATAAGGCCCAAGTATATTAAACAGAATAAATGCTGTAACTGTCACTTCCCGTTTTAGCTCCCGATACCCTAAATAATGCTACTTATTTGCATTTTGAAGAGGTCATGCGAATTCTTCGAAGAGTTGCACAAATGGAATTTTCCCTTATCTGGTTAGGCGACAGTCACCATTTGTTAAATTGTCACCCCGATTTACATTCATTAATATCTGCTTTCAGTATGAATGTACTTATCAAAGAAATCTTGTATCCCGCATATGTTTGCCAGGAAATGTGAGATAAATTACAAAATGCAAGATTTCAGAGGGAGAAAATACGTAAATAGGCATACATAAGAGTTTTACTACGATGGTGGTGAAATTATGAATGACGACAACCAATGGGCTTTTGACTCGGTATTGCATAATATAAAGGTTACGTAATGACCTGATAAGGGAAGAGTACTGATTTCCATTTGGATTGAACAACTCATCGATTTACTGGTGATTTGAGCGGAAGCTTCAGTTTCCTGGTCTGGTCCTTTGAATACATTCAGATTTCGTAAGTTCATCTAAGCCTACAGGTGGTCTGGCTCACCATTTGGATCTTCAAGATTAAGTTACTCCTGAGTCCTGAATTACCGATAACAATACTAATAGAAAGCCTTTGCACCCATTCTATTGTGGCTAAAGTTAGGCCTAGAATAAATTCAAATAGAGATCCTTAGCACGGCTGCTTTTTAGGCAGATGACAAGTTGACCATACCGCGCTAATTATCCCAAAAGATACAGTTACGCGCTGGTTTACTCCAAACCAACCACTGTAGTTGTATGTCTTTTTCTGTCCCCTGGGCACTAGTCTTGACTACCCGCGTAGCAAAATTCGTCGATACGATTGTGTTGCCGACTGACAACCCGAACGATGGAAGAAAACAGTGCAACATAAACGTATCCCAAATAATTAAATAAGATA